GAAAGAGAAGAGGAGATTGGAGTAACGCAGCATAAGAAGGACTCAACCTCCTATTGCTGGCTTTGAAGGTGAAGGAAGAAGACAAGCCAAAGAATGTGGGTAGCCTCCGAAGCTGTAAAAGATAAGAAAGGAAAAGGAATTCTCCCACAGAGCCACCAGAAAGGAATGCTGCCCTGCTGGACTTTAGCCTAGTGAGACCCATGTCAGACAATAAGGTAATAAATATGTGTTGTTTTAAGACATTGAGTTTGTGGTGATTTGTTACAACGGCAATAGATAACTAATACTGTACCCAAACTGCTGGATCTGGCTATAAAATGCAGGGACCGTGAGTGGCACTGGCCTCACTCGAGATACAACACAGCCTTTCCACAGCCATACTGTCTTACATCAGCTAGATGTAATGCTTTTGGTTTTCTTATCCCAGTCTGCCAGGGAGGTACCAGGCATGACAGGCATGAGGATAATGCCAGGTAGACCCTTTCTGAGCTCTATCTAGTCAGTCTCACTCACTCTTGTCTTCTAGGCCTCCCTGCCTTCAGACTGTCAAACATTTTCATTAGAGTCTAAAATAGACCTTTTCCAGTTTGAGATGCCCACCCTCCCCCTTCGGTTTACAATGACCCTTTTCTAAGATTTGTCTTAAAAAAAAAAGCAAGTTCATAGCCCAATGAAAACTCAGTGAGCATTTTGGCATGAGAGAGAGAAAAATAAGCAAAAACATCTGTTTTCCTAGATTTTGAAAACAAGCTTCTGGGCCTATGGTTCCTGACCGAATGGCAAATAAAGAAGGGTTGGAAAGAGTCCCAAGCACACCCAAGTAGTAGGCACAATGAGGGGCTCTCATTTTGCTGCCAGGGTCTGTCTGCGTGTAGTCAGCCTCTGAACCCCAAGGACACCCCAGGGACTTCCAGAGTCAATGAAACAGGACTTATGTTTTTCAGGCTTTCCAGTTTTCCCTTGAAGAATTTTCTCTTAGAAATCCACAGCCCTATTCCCCCGGGAAATGCTCAGTTTTATACGTGCTCTATGAAAGATTAAGACAAGCTCATGTTCTATAGATACTCCGAATTTCATTTGGTTAATGTTAAGCTTGTGACAAAATCCAGAAGTTTCCAAATTAAGGGTAAACTTTAAAAATGCCTGGCTTTTATTTTGGCTCAAGCCTGCATGTGTCTGAGGGAGACAGAGAGGTTAAGTTATAGGGAAAGGAACATTTATCAAGCCCTTGATATGCTTTACATAGGGGTTTTGCTATTCAATTTAATTTCTCACAGCAATTCTTGAGCTAGGTATTAGCAGCTCTATGTTTAGATTTTTAAAAAGCTGAAGATCAGTGATATCAGTAACTTGTTAATGTCCCCAGGACTGGTAAGCCTGGATCTGAACCCAGGTCTGCTTGCTCCAAAGCTTATGTCTTTTCCTTGCTTGATGCTGAACTAAACCCTTCTAGCTCAATTTCAGTTTTGGCTTTCACATATATAAGGTCAAAACAGGGCTGCTCCGTTCAGTCTCCTGGGCTGTGCACTGCACAGCTCCGGAGGGTTCCGTGGCACTGTGTGATTGAAGTGGCCCTTAGTAAAAATGGACTTGACAATATTGTTATGGATTTTCTGGGATGTTTTTTGTGCCTCTACATCCTCTGAATAAGGCCTTTCCCATCAGACAGTGACTAGGCAATGGGAAAAACAGCCCAGTGATGGGTTCCAGAATTATCCCAGCCTGACATAACAAATGAGGTATACAGAAGTTGGGAGACCCATGTGCTAATTCTCATTCTGGCATCAATTCACTAACTCACATGGACCTTAAATAAAAGAAAAACCTTCAGTGGGCCAGTTTCCTCATCTGAGAAATGAATGAGTGGGTGGATTTGATTACTGGATTTCAGAATCGTTCTTTAGGTTGCAGAAGCCCCATACCCAAAGTAGGTGCATGCAGGGGTGCTCTTGCCAGGGGACTAGGAAGAAGGGGCTCTGGACCTACTTGCTCACTCAGCCCCCTTTTCCTTTCTGACCTACACCTCTGAGCACAGCTGGCAAAACCTGGCACTTGATCTTACTATGACGTAGAAATCCTAACATTCTAGAATTTCGTGCAGACTATCACTGTTCTGAATAAATGCTGCAAATCGCTTTTAATGAATTATCAAAACTGCCTGTGAGGGACGGAGGAAAAACTGCATGGAGCAGAGACAGCATGTGTCGGCATCAATGAAAAATGCTTTACCTAGTTGAGTTTCAACCTGAAACTTGAAACTCCAGCAGCGAGCCCATCAGGGGTTCCCTGAAAAATATGTGCACAGTCAACCTCCAGAGCCCCACAATCGGTTTTGTTCTGTAGCAATGGGGAGCCAAGGGGAAAAGGAGGAGAGAGGAATCCAAGGGAACAATGTCTGTTGCCTCAGCCAAGGACTTCATAATTAGCTGTGACTAACAAATACCACATGGGAACTAACTTGTAAGAAAATGTCCCA